TCTTCAAAAAAAAAAAAAAAAAAAAAAGCTCCAGACAAATGATCAGGTCTGGCTTGGAGACAAAAAAAAAAAAAAAAAAAAAAATGAGTAACATGAATCTTGCTCATATTCTCCCATTAAAAAAAAAAAAAAAAAAAAAAAAAAGAGGATGTAATTATTCTAGTAAACTAATCCCAAAAAAAAAAAAAAAAAAAAAAACTAAATATTTAGAAAATATTCTAAATTTGTATGTTAAAAAAAAAAAAAAAAAAAAAAACTGCATCATTGGTGGTGGCAATTAGATTTTAAGGAAAAAAAAAAAAAAAAAAAAAAAAATTTTTGGAATTATCATTAATCTAGAGTGAAGGAAAAAAAAAAAAAAAAAAAAAAGGAAAGTTCAGGTCAAGATGAAACATCTTGAAGAGAAAAAAAAAAAAAAAAAAAAAACCCCAGGATTTTCTTGAAAACAGGGATCTAAAACTAAAAAAAAAAAAAAAAAAAAAAAACTTATCTATGCAAAGCACAAATTTCCAAAAAAAAAAAAAAAAAAAAAAAAAAAAAGAAACCTTTAAATTATGTTTTAAAATTATCCTCACCCAGGAAGACCAGGTTTCTGTAGTTATCTAACATCACATTCCTATACAAATTCTGCTAAAAAAAAAAAAAAAAAAAAAACTCCTCCAGAGAGAATTCTATGGCCACATCCCTAAAAAAAAAAAAAAAAAAAAAAAAACACACACACACAAACATATTTACCAACTTGCCCTAAAAAAAAAAAAAAAAAAAAAACAAGGTGGAATGGGAAAGTAAAGAGAACTGGTTTTAAAAAAAAAAAAAAAAAAAAAATATCCAATAAAATAATTTTCAAAACAGAAATATTCAAAAAAAAAAAAAAAAAAAAAAAGAAAAGAGAGGCAGAAGATCCACAATAGCAGTTTAAAAAAAAAAAAAAAAAAAAAAATAAAGTATAGAATGACACAAACACAAACATGTACAAAAAAAAAAAAAAAAAAAAAATCATACAGAATGAGCTGTGTATATTTTTCAGATAGAAAAAAAAAAAAAAAAAAAAAATAGCTTTAAAATTTTAATGTGTACAATAATAAACTAAAAAAAAAAAAAAAAAAAAAATCTTTCCAGAGGATCTGGAATAAAGTTTGAGTTTCAAAAAAAAAAAAAAAAAAAAAAGTAATGCCAATGTTTTTGGCCCAAGAAGAATATTTAAAAAAAAAAAAAAAAAAAAAAAGAGCCTGTGTTTTTCCCAGATTTTCTGGCCTGTAAACAAAGATGAGAGCCTTTATTTTCCAAAAACAAATATATACAAAGGAAACCTAAGAAAAAAAAAAAAAAAAAAAAAAAAATGTGATGGTTTACGAACATCAGCTGCATAAAGAAAAAAAAAAAAAAAAAAAAAAATAACTCTATAGTAAGAAAAATAAATCTGTCAGGGAAAAAAAAAAAAAAAAAAAAAAAAAGTTCTGGGTTACATGTTCTGTTACATAGGTATAAAAAAAAAAAAAAAAAAAAAAACTGAACTAGCACAAATTTGTATGATGTGCTGAGGCACAGAGAAAAACACAGCATTGCTGCTTCAACATTGCCCCTCGCAAAAGCAAATTATAAAAAAAAAAAAAAAAAAAAAAAACATCAGTTTTATGCCCTCTTTAAGATACAGATAAAAAAAAAAAAAAAAAAAAAAAAGTGTGGTTTTGTTTTTGTTTTTGTTTTTGTTTTGAAAAAAAAAAAAAAAAAAAAAAAGGCTAGAGTGCAATGGTGTAATCTTGGCTCAGTGCAAAAAAAAAAAAAAAAAAAAAAGCGATTCTCCTGCTTCAGTCTCCCAAGTACCTGGGAAAAAAAAAAAAAAAAAAAAAAACCAGCTGATTTTTTGTTTTTTGTTTTTTGTTTTGAAAAAAAAAAAAAAAAAAAAAATTGGCCAGCCTGGTCTCGAACTCCTGTCCATCTCAAAAAAAAAAAAAAAAAAAAAAAACAGGCGTTAGCCACGTACCTGGCTTATGTTGTTATTTTTAATAGTAATTTTAAGTAGTCTTTAACACCATAGAGAGGATTTTCTCCTAATAAAAAAAAAAAAAAAAAAAAAAATCACTCTGTTGCCCAGGCTGGAGTGCAGTGATGCAAAAAAAAAAAAAAAAAAAAAAAGCCTCTCAGGCCCAAGCGATTCTCCTGCCTCAGTCAAAAAAAAAAAAAAAAAAAAAAGCATGCGCCACCACACTCAGCTAATTTGTGTGTTTAAAAAAAAAAAAAAAAAAAAAAATGTTGGCCAGGCTGGTCATGAACTCCTGGTCTCAAAAAAAAAAAAAAAAAAAAAAACCCAAAGTGCTGGGGTTACAGGCGTGAGCCACCATGTTTGGCCATCTCTGAGTAAATTTTTTTTTAGAACTTTTTGGGTAATAAATGTTATCAAAAAAAAAAAAAAAAAAAAAAAATTCTGTTTTGCATAGAGCTAATGGAGAACACAAAAAAAAAAAAAAAAAAAAAAAATCTCCATATTTACAAATGACCCCAGCTTGTTGGGAAAAAAAAAAAAAAAAAAAAAAAATAAACTGGCCATAAACAAAATCTCTGCAGCACTGAAAAAAAAAAAAAAAAAAAAAAACGCCCACGCTGGAAGGTTGTGGGTTTACCGGAATAAAAAAAAAAAAAAAAAAAAAAGGAAAACCGCTTAAAGGAGTTCTTAAACCACAAACAAAAAAAAAAAAAAAAAAAAAATTAAGGATGTGCTCCTGCTGCAGATAACTAGCCCAAAAAAAAAAAAAAAAAAAAAAAATCCCTTTATTTCCCATAAGGAATACTTTTAGTTCAAAAAAAAAAAAAAAAAAAAAAGCTTATCACTGGCTTGCTGTCAATAAATACATGGGAAAAAAAAAAAAAAAAAAAAAAAGCTGTGAAGGCTGTGAGACCCCTGATTTTCCACTAAAAAAAAAAAAAAAAAAAAAAGTGTGTCTTTAATTCCTCTAGCGCCGCTGGGTTAGAAAAAAAAAAAAAAAAAAAAAATCGGCACCAGCTTTTCCCCAACAGGAATTTTGAGTATCCACAGCCACAAAGGAAACATTTTTAATGTTGCATATCGCAAATTCATGGTGAGAAAAAAAAAAAAAAAAAAAAAAACCACGATGTAGAGAAAGTACAATAGGCTCTGGTATAAAAAAAAAAAAAAAAAAAAAAAGACCCTTGACTATCATAAGAACTTTTTAAAGTAGAAAAAAAAAAAAAAAAAAAAAAGAAAACTGCAAGTAGAGAAGCAAAGATTCACAAGTAAAAAAAAAAAAAAAAAAAAAAAGGAAGAGTGGGCATGATCTGAGACATGTTTAGCTAAGGAAAAAAAAGGCCATTTTTTCCTCTTTTCTCCTCCTTCTCTGGGATTTCTTCTCAAAAAAAAAAAAAAAAAAAAAATACACCTCCATCTTGAGAATATGCCTTTGAAGTGTAAAAAAAAAAAAAAAAAAAAAAAGCACCACACCTACAGGCAGATGACAAGAAAAAGTAAAAAAAAAAAAAAAAAAAAAAATTTCTGTTCTTTATAACAGCAAAGATTCAGGAACAAAAAAAAAAAAAAAAAAAAAAAAAATAAAGTTTATCTTTCTCTTCTCAGGTGCCCTAAAAAAAAAAAAAAAAAAAAAATTTCTGCTACAGTAATGGCAATATGGACTGCACTGAAAAAAAAAAAAAAAAAAAAAACAGAACTGGCCCTGTGACCACCCTTTAGTACAAAGAAAAAAAAAAAAAAAAAAAAAAGTATTTTGAACCCCTCATAGCTGATTCTGTTCTCAAAAAAAAAAAAAAAAAAAAAAACATTAGGTTGGTGTGAAAGTAATTGTCGTTGCTGCAAAAAAAAAAAAAAAAAAAAAAAAAAAGAAATAAAAATAATAAGTAATAATAATAGTAAAAAAAAAAAAAAAAAAAAAAACAGCAGAAGCAGACCAGGTGCAGTGGTTCATGCCTATAATCCCAGCACTTTGGGAGGCCAAGGCGAGTGGATCACCTGAGGTCAGGAGTTCAAAAAAAAAAAAAAAAAAAAAACCAAATTCCATCTCTACTTAAAAAAAAAAAAAAAAAAAAAAAAAAAAAAAAAAAAAAGCCTGTAATCCCAGCTACTGGGTAGGCTGAGGCAGAAAAAAAAAAAAAAAAAAAAAAGCGGAGGTTGAAGTGAGACAAGATCGAGCCATTGCAAAAAAAAAAAAAAAAAAAAAAAAATCTGTCTCAAAAACAAAAAAAAAGGCGAAAACAAAAAAAAAAAAAAAAAAAAAATAATAATTAAAACAACATGGATGCTTCCACCAAGGAAAAAAAAAAAAAAAAAAAAAAAGGGCACAAGTAAAAAGATTTCTGCAAATTGGCCAAAAAAAAAAAAAAAAAAAAAAAAGTTGATAACCACTTAACTAAGCATTGCTTCTCAGAAAAAAAAAAAAAAAAAAAAAACTTGGTGATTTTGGCCCCACTCTATGTAATGTGATAAAAAAAAAAAAAAAAAAAAAAATGAATGGGAGTTTTAAACAAGTCCTTGTCAATGCAAAAAAAAAAAAAAAAAAAAAAATTATTAGCACTAGTTAGAGGAAGCAGGCACAGCAAAAAAAAAAAAAAAAAAAAAAATCTTGTCACAACACAAATGAAGACAATCCATCTCCAAAAAAAAAAAAAAAAAAAAAAGTCTCTTTAAAGTTTACAGATGAAATAGAAGGCAGCAATGTCTGAGTAAGTCTGCATTTGGAAAACAGCACATACACATGTACTCTGCAATGAAAAAAAAAAAAAAAAAAAAAACACTGTATTCTCACTCTCAAGAGTATGTTACACAGAAAAAAAAAAAAAAAAAAAAAATATGTGATTGAATCCTCATAACACCCTGGGAACTAGCACTAAATGTTCAGTAATTCCCAGGATTTAGATGAAGGACCCAGTATTTTTATTTCAAAAAAAAAAAAAAAAAAAAAAATTTTTTTAAAAATGTACAGAATAAAAACAAAATAAAAAAAAAAAAAAAAAAAAAAAAAAGGAAAATTTCA